CCCCCCACCCTCGCGTGGAAACGTCCCCCGGAGCCGGGGGTAGTGGATCTGGGAGCGCGGCGGGTGGGTGGCCTGAGTGGTGGGGCGGATGGGGCGTGGACGCCCTTTGGTGATGGTCGCCCGGCGGGGGTCGCCACTGCCCTAGATCCTCAGCCTCCGGGACAATGGGAGCCTCGAGGAGGCCCAGATGTCACAACGGGGAAGTCGACGTCCGCTTCTCATAAATCCCGAGGGTGAGCACCACGCCCCCTCCCTCTACCCCTCCCAGGGCCGGAAATCACTCGAGGCTCCTGGGCAAGGAAGACCTGAGCAGGTTCCCCCCCCACCCCACCCCGTTGTTCAGGGTTCTTACAGGGCTGAAGGGGTCTACAGCCCTGGCTCCCTCACCCCTGCTTGGCCCCATAGCCCCAGAACCAGGGCATAGGTTAGGGCAGAGACCAGTCTGGCTAAGAAAACAAAGACTCCTGCTAGCCTTTGTCGGTTGACCCTTGGGGGCCTCCAGGAGACCTCCCAGAAGAGGTGGAGGGACTCCAGCAGGCCTGGAAGGGATGTGAGAAGAGTGGGAAGGCATCAATCAGTGTAAAAAGAAGTTTGGAAGTGCTGATCAGTGCTATCGCTTGCTCCTGGGGAGAGGTGGGGGTATCCGAGCTCCTCTTCTCCCTCCTGCCTCCAGCTCCAGGCCCTCAACCTCCACTGGTAGTTGGATTAGCCTTTTCCTGCCCTCACTAAACCCTCTGTAGCCCTACCTCTGGCAGTTCTGTGGCCTGCCAGGGAGGACCTCAACCTGTTGCTCTCTCCCACCCTCAGTGACCTCTGATGCTTGTAGAGGGACCTTAACATTTCCCAAAGCCATTTCACATCTCATTTCCCAGGAAACAGGACAGGCAAGGAAGGGTTTTTATCCAAGTCTTGTGGATGGAACAGTGGGTTGGTGAAGGTGGAGACTAGCCTGGAGCCCTGCCTGAACCTTCTTCCCACCACCAGCCCTGGGCTGCCCTCCACATGGGCTCTGAAGAAAGGCAGGCCCTGTCTGAGGCCCTGGAACCTAGCGCCTTCCCTTCCGCACATACCAGCTGCTCTCTCGGCAGGATATGGCCAGCAAACATTTAATGAAAGCTTAGGTGTGGATCAGCCATCGAGTGGAGCTGCACACTGGCCTGGAGGCCTGGCTGGGAACCTGGAGACCTATGAATGAGGCTGGGAGGGGGTGTGGGAATGTGAAGGGTGGGAGGATGACTGCCTGTAGAGTGAGAAAGAAGAGAGGAAGGCTCCATACTGGGTGATGGGGCTGTGGACCCAACCCCCCTGAGGATGGGAGAACCTGGCCCCCAGCAGACTAACCTGGTTCCGAGTAGTGGGCTGAGATCCACTGATGGGCTGTCATTGACCAGAGAGGGTCCTGGGGTATAGAACCCTGGGCAGGACAATAAGTCTGATCCCCATGGAGGAGGAAGTGAGGAGGAGCCTGCTCTTTAGTGACTCTGACCTTATAGGAGGAACTTATAGTGGGAAATGTGGAAGTGACTGGGGCAGGGAGGGGGGAGGAGGGGAGGCGCTGATTAGTCAAAAGCATTTTCGTCATGTGGACAGGAATGAGACTCAGGGAGGATAGGTCTATCTGGGGTCCCTGAGGGTAGGAGGCTCTGGGGCCTTGGAGGAAGTTGTGATGGGGCAGATGATGAGGGGTTTTGGGGTAGGACCCCAAAGGGGGGAGCCCTGGATGTACAAGCTCTAGAGTGTTCAAGACTGAGACAGGGATAGCACAAGGGACTCTGCCCAGGTGGGCTGCAGGGTGGGAGCGGGGTATGGAGCCAGCATGTCAGGCCACCTGGCCAGTAAGGGAATGCCAACCACCACAGACTAAGAGGAAGCTCCTTCTCTGGGTTGGGACCCACATGAGGGGCTGGGGGCCAGACAGCCCAGAAGTATGGCTCAGGAGTATCCCTATGCAAGGCTGGCACTCAGGGGGCTTGGTGGGCATGAACTCCACATTGCCTGGCAAGCAGGACCCCAAGGGAAAAGGACATGGAGTGACACAAGAGCACGGCTCCAGGGCACACAGAAGGAAGTAGGGATTCCAAGAGCTGATGTCACACATCCAACACGCATCACACATTCAACCACAGTCCGATTTTTTTTTTAAGGAATGGATTTCTGTTTTGATTGGGTTGCTGGTCTGCTCAAGAGAACTCAGACACTGTGGGTTTGGATTTCAGCAAAGCTCTGGACCCAATCATGGAATTCCTGGATGGAAAAAAGGAGGCAGACCTGTGTGTCAGGGGCTGGGCCCCATATTAGCAGAGCAGCTGAAAGGTATAGCACCAGCTCCCAGTGTGTTGCTGCAAGTACCTCCCAGCACCTCCCAGCCTCTCATATCCCAGTCACAGTGCACAGGCACCAGTGTGGCTGCAACCATATGTTTATTCAAAATGTGCAAAGCTGAACATGCAAGCGCAAATTTAACTTAGGAAGATCTGTCAGTGGCCCCGAGGTGGCCATGCTAGGATGTTCTGCTTGGCTGAGCACATGGGCCCCTCAGACCAGTCCTTGGGTTGAAGAGCCCATGCATGGGGGTGTGCTCACTGGAGACTCCTCACCTAGAGGCCAGAATGCCTTGCTAAAGAATAGGCAAAAATCATGGTGGTGGGGGTGGGGCAGGGTGTGACAAAGGCAGGCTGGGGGACGGACTCAGACACGAGGTGGTGGTAGATCCTAGGGGAGCCCTAGGGGGTCCCAGAGCTTGGACAGAGAAGCCCAGAGGATCCCAACTAGATTAACTATGTGGGAACTCAGTGTCACAGTGTCTCTGCCACCAGGGCTAGTGGTCAGGCTGTGGGCAGTCCACAGGCCAGATCACCAGCCTGAGATGGGGCTAAAGGACCTATCTGGTTCAGCCTGGATAGGCCATGGGACTTTCTGGACCTAGGAGGCCCAAAGTGGCCGAGACATTCTTTTAAGGGGGCCCACGGTGACCTAGGACCTCTGGAATTGTTGGGTGGAGGGCACGGGCAGTTTCCATAGGGGATTCTGGAGGGAAGCCTAAGTCATTAGAAGCAGCTAAATAAGCAGGGGTGGGGAATGCAGTCATCACTGTTGTGAGTGGGGAGGCCTGAGACATCACTGCCATAAGTCACCGGCCGCTGCCCCATTGTCATTCTCGTGGAACTTGTGCAGGTGATCAGCAAACCTGTGGGACACGGAAACCTTTGCTATGGCCGAGTGTAAAAAGGAGAGGAGTGCCCAGCCGGGCATGGCTCAGCGGTTGAGCAACAACCTAGGATCCAGGAGACTGTGGTTTGATTCCAGGTCAGGGCACATGCCTGGGTTGCAGGCGCGATACCCAGTCGGGGGCATGCAGGAGGCAGCTGATCAATGACTCTCTCATCATTGATGTTTCTATCTCTCTCTCTCCCTCTCCCTTCCTCTCTCTGAAATCAATAAAGATATATATTTAAAAAAAAAAAAGAGA